TGGTCCTGGAGCCCCACACACCTGTCTGTTTCCATTCTGTCAGACCTCAATTACCAAATCAAAGGCTCCCCTGAGGAAACAAGTAGCCTGACGAACCTTTGAAAGCATTTTTTTTCCCCACTGAAAAGTTTGGGAATTGTAGTTGGCAAATGCAAGAGCTGGATACTAACATCCAGCATGTTTTTAAGAACTGAAGACAAAGTCAAATTTACCCCCCATTATTAACTGAGTTTCAGGTTCTACTGTGTAAGTGCGTTTGGCTGGAGCCGAAACCTGCAGGCGTGTGGGCCTCCTGGAGAAGATTGGGAACCCCTGACCTAGACCAGTCCTGGAGCAGAGCTGGACTGTCCCGAAGGAACACAGTGAAAATGTCAACTCACATGAGAGAAAAAGCCTAGGCATAGGCAAGTCAAACCAGGAATATCCTGTTAGCGTGACTGTGTGCTAGGGTGTGAGCAAGTAACTCTTGGAAGAAGTGTTAGTCGGGCCAGCAGGGGGCGCTCACCCTGCAGTCCATGTGGGTCCTAATGCCCCAGTATAGTGACGGGGACACTATACTGTAAACAGGCGCCATCCTTCGGATGAGACGTAAAATCGAGGTCCTGACTCTCTGTGGTAATTAAAAATCCCAGTGCGTTTCTCAAAAAGAGTAGGGGTGTAACCCCGGAGTCCTGGCCAAATCTCCCATTGGCCCTTACCAATCATGGCCTCCTAATAATCCCCATCTATGAACTGGCTTCATCAATCTGCTCTCCTCCCTACAGATAGCTGATGTGTGGTGAGTGTACTGGAGCACTATGGCTGCTGTCACATCATCCAGGTGGGGCTGCACACTGATGGTGGTGGAGGGGATCACCATTACCTGTAAAGCGCTTTGAGTGTGCAGAAAAGCGCTATATAAGTGTCAGCAATTATTATTATAATTAACTCTTCCATTTTCTCGCTCCAAGGCACCGAGCGGTGCAAATTCCCGCAACAGGTCCGAACTGCTACGTCATCACAAACGGCTACATGCTGGGGTTTTCCAGAAAACCTTCCTTGCTCTTCTAATCTGCCTGTGTACATAAATAATACTGGCAGTGTTTTCAAAAAGAGAGAGGGCCTTTATCAGTTTTCACGGCAGACAGGACTGACCATCATGGTTCAGCGATCAGGACTGTAGTAGAAGTGTTAATCAGGCCTTGCTTCCTCGTACCCAGTTCTTTTCCATAAAACACAGCATATATAACTGGCATCAGGAGTAGGAAATGCTGCAATCCCCAGCCACCTGCTACAAGGCGATGCCTCACTGCCTCTCTCTTCCCCCATTTCCTACTGCACCTGTTACATTTCCTGTTATGTGCCTTAATTCTGCAATGGCTTCCGTGTTGACATAACTCACAGAATAAGAAGGCATCCGAAAGGAAGGGGATGAGATGTGCAGGGAAGTGCACTGAAGTTACATGGGTGTCAGCTTTGCTGGCTGTGGGCTTCAGAGCACAGTGCAACACTCTCTCAGCCCCCCCCCCACAATTTTCTTTGACCTTCATCAGAGAATCAAACAGGTCAAAGCAAATGGAAGCTTGTTTACATTTTTTACAGGGATGGGAACAGGGCTGTAGGCCAGATGTGTTGGTGTAGTATCACACTGAAATACAGAACAAGATATTTTGGGCTCCGTCATTCATTCAGTGGTGTGTATCATTACATGAAACAGGAAAACCTGAATGAGGCCAGCAAGTCATTACGATTAGTTCATGCCACTTTAAAAGCTCAAGCATTTGCAGGAAACGGTAACAGCATAGTTGTGAGGCCACGCTGCCACAGGTATTAATAATAATAATTAATAATTGCTTACACTTATATAGTGCTTTTCTGGACACTCCACTGAAAGCGCTTTACAGGTAATGGGGACTCCCCTCAACCACCACCAGTGTGCAGCCCCACCTGGATGATGCGACAGCAGCCATAGTGCGCCAGAACACTCACCACTAGCTCTCAGTGGAGAGGAGAACAGAGTAATAAAGCCAATTCATATTATTAGGATTATTAGGAAATATTAGGGAATATTAGGAGGCCAGGCCAATGGAAAATTTGACAAGAACACCGGGGTTACACCCCTGCTCTCTTTGAGAAACGCCCTGGGATTTTAAAGGACCACAGATAATCAGGACCTCCTGTTACGTCTCATCCGAAGGACGGCGCCTTTATACAGTATAGTGTCCCCATCACTATACTAGAACATTAGAACTCACATAAACCACAGGGTGAGCGCCCCCTGCTGGCCCCATTAACACCTCTTCCTGCAGCAACCTTAGTTTTTCCCAGGAGGTCTCTCATGACCAGGCTCACACCTGCTGAGCTTCAGTGGGCTGCCAGTTGTGAGCTGCTGGGTGTTATGGCTGCTGGCAGGTAAAGGCAGCCAGCATTCTCTGGTTCAATCCTGATACAGCAGATCAAAGCTGAATGTAAAGATGGGCCTGTCTTTCTCTCAAGTTTCATGAAAGCCCAGTCAGAAGCCCTGTTTTATTTACAGAATCCTCAAAAAAACAATGACAAGAAACCATTTAAATGCAATTCCGTAACTGGGTACACTCAGACAAGCGCACACTGGAAGGCTTAAAGAGCATAGATATAAATGGAGAGAGATGTGTGAGAAGCAGAGACCCCAGAACTGCCAGGAATAGGGGAGCAAAGTAAGAACACTGACTGGGAAAGGACTAGTGTGTCTTCAGTCTGCATTAGAACACGGAGTCGGGAATCTTCAAAGTGGGAGAGCAGAAAGGCTTACTCAAGTCCATTTACATGATTCTAACTGTGTTCTGCACTTTGATGTTTGCTTCAGAAGTCTTCTTCCTTGTGCACATTACTTCAAACACATGTACCAGATACAATACCTGTTTCACTCTGCTTTTAAATAGTTGCTCTCCGAGTTTCCGACAACTTCTAACTGGTAAGAACTGGCTGACGTACAGCCAGGGGTCCCCACCACTTCTCTTGGACATGCAGCAGTCCAGTTAGTCTTAAAGGTCACCCCAAATCACCTGTGTTTTTAAAAAATAAGAAGTGCTTGGAAGTTACTTAGCAATTACGCCAAGCAATGTATTCAAGAGAGCCCATCATCCAAGATTGAGGCGTATTCAGATTTGTATTTCAAGTTATCTTCAATACTTCATTGAACAAATCGCCCATTGAACGGATAACAATACTAACTGTTCCTTGTCTTTACAGACTGATCAATTAACGATGAGCTATACAACCTGCTGCACTGGCAAAGTACAGCAGCAGACGGGAATATTACTGCATCGAACACAATATCGCTGACCAGACTCGATGGTTTAGTCAAACTGCACCTGGTCATTTTAAACCACTACAGATGAGAGGAGGGACAGTAGACGGAAGACGAGCGAGAGTAATCGAATGTAAGAGCCCTTAAGAAAACTTCTATCTCATTTGGAAAATAATTATTTAATTGTTGAATTGACTAGTCAGGTTGGAACAAAAACCAGGAGACGAAGCACAGCAGGAACGGAGTCTGAGACCCTTGTGCTAGTGACAGTCTGCCTGCTGTAGGAGCCTTTTACCATCAACCACCCCAGTGATCACCACTCACACCTAAACCTGCTCTACAGGCCCATCCTTCCACGGGTTCCCTGGCACTGAGTCACTTCACAGCTGGCAAACAGGACTGTTCAGTCAGCACGTTATTTCTTTAAATGGAGGATTCCACCTACGGAAATGCTGTCAGTATTCAGTAATAATTCAAATACCTCATGCATGTTTGTAAATTTCGGTAAATTACAGTCGTTTAAGAAAAGAGAACTTCCCCTTTTAAAAGCACAGCCTGATTATTTTGACCTACAGACAGAGGCCTAGGCAAGGGGCAGGCCTGACGCAGGTCAGGTTAGTCCTTAGACGTGTTTGACCCTAATGAATGGGGAGGTGGCTTATCTAATGCCAGAACTGTCCCTCTCACGAGCTGTGCCACAGCTGCCCTGTCGCTTTTATCGGCACACTCCTGAGCGACTCAGACAGCCCGGCAACGCTGCCAGAGGAACTAATTTTATCACCCCCCACAACACCCCACTCCTCCTCCCCCTGCCCCGGTCTGCAATCACGCCGTCCCCGCACACATATGGCTCCTTCGCTCGAGTTAACAGAAGCAAAATTCGACAAAACGACCGTTTGAGTCCCCTCAGGTCTTCACATGCAGGCATTTTGGCCTCCGTTCCACGCGTGTGGGCAGCGCGGGAGGGTGTTTTCCTATGTTGTCTCATTGGGAGCGAGGCGGACGAATGCGGCGTGTGCGAGGGCTAAGATGGGCCGAGGCGTCCTCCGAGCCAGCTAGGCCCCGCCTGCGGCGCCATATGGACACCGCCGGGACGGACGAGAAGCTTTATTTTTAAAACCTAAGAACTGAAAACAACACCAAAAGGATAGTATGTTCACTGCAAACCACGAGGAAAATAACGAGAGTTGTGTCAGAGCAGCAATATCCTTAAAGTAAATACCTAAAATAGTTGGGAAGCTAGTCGGCTAGCAAGCATGCTGTCACTCGACACTGCCGGTGTCATCCATTCACATGCGCAGGGGGTTAAATATTGCAGAAGCCCCTTCGACTGGGGCTTTTTTTTATATAAATATACGCAACACATCTATAAATTCTCCTGTCTGATCGACGATTGTAAATAAACGACACCATCATGCCCTATCTCGGATCAGATCTACACGCAACTGCAGCACATCATTCAAAAGACCGGAATTCATTGCCGAACATAAGTCAAAGACATCAAGAACAAGGACAATGGAAATAAAGCCTCGCTCTGCCGGATAAGGGAAAAACCGAACTAGAAAAACAGTATTTGCTACTAACACAGTTAATTGGCTTCTATCTTTAGAAACTGCGGTTCTGAAAAATCGCGGATCACACCGGGTTTTACGGCGCTGTGGCATGGAGGAGGAGGAGGAGGAGGGGGGGTGGAGGTTGTGCTAAGTCAGCCAGCCACAGGCCCCAAACTCACCATGCCGCCTCCGTCTCCGCCGGCCTCGGGTCTGCTCTCGCTCTCCCCTCGGCGGGTCTCCGGTCCCGGCTCGGCCTCCTGCTGCTTCTGCGGGTCTCCGCCCTGCTCCGAACTCATGGGCCGCTCCTGGCGCTCCGCTAACCCCGCCGCTCTCTCTCCTTCTCCCCCCTCTCTCCTCCTCCTCCTCACCTCTCACCGGGTGATGAAAAAGCAACAAGCGCTTTCTCTTTCTAGATCAGCGATGCGTTTTGTACAACCCCTTTCGCTTTACGATTAAAAAAATAAGACAAAATAGATACCGCAACCAGCTAAGATGCTTTTACGATAATCTGTAGCTTTGCGATGAGTATCTTTTTAATTTACTAGCGATCAGCGAGCCGGAGAGCGCATTCCTAGCCGGACAACCGAAGCGGGCACTGGGGACACGCACCTCTCCGGAGCGCCACTGTCTGACAGCACACCGCCAACGTCCCGGCAAGCAGCGCGACCTCTCACCCTCTCTTCCCTCCCTTTCCCTTCCCCATCGCAGCTCCTAGCAACGGCGCAACATTCATTGCGCCGCATAGCAACCATCTCAACTCCTTTCCGCATAGCAACAGCGCATGGCAACAGAGGAGCGCTGACATAAGCCAAACATAAGATCACTGATTTTCGCTTCTTCTTCTTCTGCAGGTCCGCCATTTCTCCCGTTTTTTTTTCTTCCCTGACTCTTAATGACTGGATTTTAATAATTTGTTCCCTTAACTAGTCTGTATCAAGCCTGTTTCCAGGTTTTTACTCATTGAGTAAGCTGTACGTTTCTCATTAAACCTCATGGACTACAGCCCTCTAGAACCAGGACTGAACATCACTGTTACGCTCACATCAAATTTAATTCCAAAACTGACCACTTTTTCCTGGCCTTCACAATAAAATAGGAAAGTGAAAGTTGCAGTAAAAATTAATGATAAAATACTTTAAACAAAACTACTGTTATATAATCCTTAAACCAGGAGAGCATAGTTCCAGTCCCAGAGGACTGGAGGGTCTGGTTGCCCTGCCACCCAAGTCCTTAATTATTAAATTTAACTTATTAATCGATTAATTGGACAAGTTGAAGAATGTTCTTGTTATTGAGAAGTTGGTGATTTAAAGAGAACTCCAGGTGCTCTGGTTTCCTCCCACAGTCCAAAGACATGCTAGTAGGCTAATTGGCTTCTGGGAAAACTGGCCCTGGTGTGTCTGTGTGGCGTCCTGTCCAGGGTATACCCTGCCTTGCACAAGCCAGGGAGTCACTACGCTTTATCTAAATATGTACAGCAAGGCTGCCAGCTGAGTATCATACAAATAGGCCAATTTTTTAGTTGTGATTCTGGGCTCACATTCCCACAACCCCCCTGTCCTCAGGGATAAAAGTATGAGGGGAGCCCCTACCCGCAAGACACGAGGGAAGAAAGGTGTTGTAAATATTTTTTGTCTAGGCATTTACTGTGGGGAAACATGACAACCTTGAGAGTCATGCTGTTATTTTCATGAAATCTAGAGACATTCAACAGTTCATGTAAGTCATGACTGACTACCAGCCATTTCCACCATCCAGAGGAAACCTGAGAGAACATACAAACTGAGGATTGAACCCAGGGCCCCAGCTGTGTGAGGCAACAATGCTAATCATTGCTCCACCTTCCCACGGAAAAGTAATACAACTACAAGATACAACTTCCCACTTCCTCCTCTCTCCTGGCTTTTGTTTTCTCATGCTATATTATCTTTGCTGACTGCCCTATCTTTCTTACACCCAAAGAAGGCTCCTGCAGCTCACACACCCTTAGCCAGCAGAGGTCCAGATGGTTCCAGTCCAGCCACCTGAAGAGGTACAGGACCAATACCACTTACAGATACCGCTCTTATTAAGAGCTGAAAGCACATTTTAAATAGAAAACTGAAATTAAGCACTCGGCCAGAGGAGACAGTGATCTCCCAGGATCGGGGCTTGATGAAGGGTAAAATAGTGGTATCCAGAGAGAGGACTCAAACCCATAACCTCACAGTTTATCCAGAGCCCCAGCCACAAATCTAAACTGTTCCAGGTGTTGCACCAAGAATTGGAAATCAAACATCTTAGAAAATGCCTAAACACTGAACCAGTGATTCCACATATTTACTCAAACACGAAGGGATTTCAGGAAATCATTAGATGGACATTAAGAGCAGGACTCCATAATCCAGGTCCTGCTGACCCCACCTGGGGAGCCCCAGGATAAATACAACATGCCGGCACGGTCTTACTGGAACACGTACATGCACAAGGTAAGCTGGCCCGTTCAAACACCTGTGTCGTCCCACTGGAGAGGATGTGGAATAAAATCTAGCACAAGTGCAGTTACGGAATCATGGGAGAAAACATTCCCATAGACACAAAGCTCATTGAGGCTTTATTTCAGTATTAGCTGCAAGATAGAAAAGTAATAATTTAATAAAAGGATTGTTCTTTATCCTCAAAAAACAGACACACAAGGGAATGAAGACCTGCATGCTCGTGTCACTCTGTGATCTTAATTGCGTCATTAAGATCCCATAACAGCATCTTTCCAGGCTTTGGCTGTTGAGATGGATTTAAGTTGGATAGACAATAAGAGAAGAATGAGATAGAACAAGGGCAGCACGATGGTGCAGTGGTTAACATTACTGCCTTGCAGTGCTAGGCTTTGGGTTCAATTCTGGACCTGGAGTGCTATCTGTGAGGAGTTTACATGTATCCCAATGTTTGCATGGGTTTCTTCCCACAGTCCAAAGACATACTGTTAGGCTTGTGGGAAACTGGCCCTGGTGTGCGTGTCTGTGTGTGCCCTCAGATGGACTGGTGTCTCATCCAGAGCGTGTCCTGCCTTGCACCAGTTGCTTGCCAAGACAGGCCTCTGCTCCCCAATGACCCTGAACCGGAAGTGGTTAGAAAATGGATGGATGAGATAAAATAATATTGCAAAGGTATTATCAGAGCCTTCTTTATTGTTTCAAGGGGCAGCAGCATAGAAGACAATAAAAAAAAACTTGCTTTACATAAATCCACAGACAAGAAAGCAATT